AAAGAACACTCTCAACTCTGACTTTACTTTTGTTAAATTTAAGTAATGTTAATTTTCAGTTGTCTTTCAATTCTGTACAGTTTAAGTGATAATAAAGTTCAGTTTTTGAAATAAACAGGGCAGGAGACTTTTTCCCTTTTTAATGCCTTTATTAAAAGTGATCAGCTCAGGATTGGGCAGCTCGGACGGGTCTGCAGCTTCCCGTCGTCTCTCCCAGGGCAACTCAGAGGAGGAGGATATGCGCAGCTTTGTCCACTAGGGGCAGAGCTGGGGGTCCGGTCCTTGTGGGAGCCTTTAGGGCATGGTGACCCCTTCAGATGTTACGCCTGCCGGCTCTCTTGGCCCAGTCCCGGTCGTCAGGGACGACTCCCATGGTCAGGGCGAGAGGGCCTATGAGGGTGTTCCGCCTCTCTGCCGGCTCAGCACTCCATTCCTGATGTCCAGACATCACCCCAATCTCTCAACTCTTAGATGACTCGTTGTTTTGGGGTCTTTTTTAGCAAGCTAGAAGCAGTAGCTTCTCATGGCATGCTGGTCCTGGAGTTATTTTGCAAATCCCTCCCCTCAAGTCTCTTCTCCTCACTGTTCGGGAGGTCCCCACCCTTTACTGTCTCAGAGAAGGGCCATTAACTCGCCCCAGCTAGGACTTTTACTGATACAAAAACAACTGTTAACGACAACGACTCGTAATTACCATAACACACAAGCAGCACCCCAGCAGTAACAGTGGTAACCTTTTTCTCACAGAAAAAATAGGCAGAATTTTTGTTCATAACAGTTTTGTTAAATTTAAGTAATGTTAGGTTTATGTTCCGTTAATTTGAAGTTCTGATACATCTAAGTTCTACCAAGTTATGGTTCTGTTAATTTAATTCCTGTTAAGATTAATTTCTGTTAAGAGTGTTGACTTTAAGCAAAGTTAAGTTTCATTGTTGTTCAGTTTAAGTTCTGTTATTTTATGTTAAGTTCTATTAAGATCAATTTCTAATCCATTTCAGTAATTTTAACTTCAAGTTCTGTAAAGTGTACTTTCTGTTATGTTTTAGTAATGTTGTTTTAGTGAGATAGGGTTCTGTTGAAATATGCTTGTTTAAATTACAAGATTAAATTCTTTTTTTATAGAGATGAGTGAAGTTTCTATGAACCTAACTTCTGTTGACATCTGCTCATTTAAATTATAATAAACAGTTATTTTGTTATGAAGTGCCCTGGTTTAGAGCAAATTTGGGAGAAAATCTCCAAAGGGGGCCCCTCCAGAAAGCAAACCCACATGGCCCCTCCCCCCAGCCGGTTCAGGAAGGATTCCTCAGAGAGAAGTGGAAAGAACCTGTTTATTTAACAGGCAAAGCACCCCCCAGCACACAAAATGAACAATACCAGATGACAACACTCTTTCACTGCTCAGAAAATGATGACTAATTCAGAAAGTCTCTCTTGGGTGTGATCGTTTTGTTATCAGTCCCTCCGGCGCTGGGGATAGCTGCTGCAGGCCACAAAGTGAAAACTCTCGGTGTTTCCGAGGTCCTAGTCTGCAGCAGGCTCGAGTGGTTCCAAGAAAGGGAAAGAAAAACAGTCCAGGGAAAATTCGGACTGCCTAGCTAAACTAACTAACAAGCAGAAGCAAGGGCAAAGCAAAAAGCAAAAGCTGCCCTTTGTACTGCCCCGTCTCTGTGTCCCGCCAACCGTTGGGGGAGTGAGCAGGGTGATAACAAAACAAAACAAAACTTCACTCTTCAGAGCCAGTCTTGAAGGCACAGAACATAATATCCAGCATAAACAGAACACACGATTGGGGATACAAACATCACTCTAGGACATAAAGATAAGATGGAACCGACTGAAACAATTATGATGAAAGATTAGTAAACCCCTGTTTAAGGACATAAAATTATAAGTTGAGTAAAAATATACAAAGATGAGGGGTTTTAGGTCCTTGCTTTCATCAAAGATTCTATGAGTGCAAATGTTTTGCAGTGATTAATTAACATAATTATTTATAACAATCTCTGCTGTTTTATCTTCCATAGGTAGCACTGAAGAATGAATAACAATTACAAATTATAGCTGTTATTAATTGTAAGCTATTTAGTGCTTTCTTTCTTGCTTTTATTCTGCTCTAATGTTATATATGCATAGATGTGTGGAAAAATATTATCTCAACTCCTTAGGAAAGTTACTGCTGCTATATTAATGATTCTGAATATGTTAATCTCATAGCATGAATTCACCGACCTTTGGTTATTTGCAGTTTGTTCATGGTACCATTGACTACTTGGCTAAGGATAAATGACAAAGCTGGCTACTTTACAAACTTTACATATCTTTGTGTAGCTATCTGTTGGAATGTTGGGGGACACAAGACAGATTATGGACTTTGGAACTGGTTAACATAAGAGATTTGATTACAGGATGCCTTGGCAATAGCAAACAGAACTTTGAAAATTAGACCTAGATAGCAAGAAGATTAAATCAAACGGGTTTACCCGAAAAAGAAAATCCTATTAAACTCTGCAAGCAAGAGATGTTGCTATATCCATAAGTTTGCGTATGTGATTTTAACCAAATAATTGTAGTACACATTACTAGTTTCCCTGAAATAGTATATAAGCGTTTGTATCCCACAATGAAATCAAATTCTGATCACCAAATCAGTCTCCCCATGTCTCTCCATCGTCAACAGCTATCTGCAAGACATGCATCATTTTAAGAAACTTTCCTAACTGCTATTAATGAGAAACTTGTTTTAAGGATATGTTAGAGAAACCCTACCAGTTAAGGTTTCAGCTCTGGCCAAGCCCTGGCCATATCTGGTCGGGAGGTATGCCAACAGATCCAGGTGTTTTCTGCACCAAAACTATACTCAGGTGTGGGTGCTGAGAACTGGTCAGAGCAGGAAGGCAGATAAACTTAGACATTCCTCTGGGAAGTTTTGAGAAAGCTCAGAGGAAGGATTAAAACAATCCTGAAGCTGGTGTTTTGAACTTGTTGCTTCTTGTAAGATGTTTACAAGAATGGTGCTGTTCCTAATTAGCCAGTGGTGTGAGGGGTGTTCATTCAGGACCAATTAGGTCCACCTTTATCATACCTGTCTATGAAAAGAATGTGTGGTTTCTAATAAACTTGCCATTTTGCCTTCTGAGAAGACATAGGAGTCGTGTTGCTTTATTCACCCGTCCTCAATACAACAGCGACATCTGGTGGACTCCGGATGTCTTTGTAGCCAAGACTGAAGAACTGGGGGTCTGGTGGACCCAATCCTTCTGTGCAGCCGGGGCTGACAAACAAAGAGTCTTGTAATCTCCAACGTTCCCTGCAGCCAAGACTGGAGACTCGGAGTCGCCCACTGTTCTCTGGAACAACAGGTACGGTGATTCCCCCACTCTCTCCTCAGAGGGGGCTGGTCTTTTTTTGACCACAGGTCATGGACTCAGTTTAGACTATTAGGACAGGTCCCCAGCAAGTGAAAGTTTGTGTTCCGGACTGAACCACTCCTTAGACAGACTGCTGGGAAGAGATTCCATTCAAGATGGGGAATCAAACTTCTACAGAGGAACAAAACATGCTTTCTGTGTGGGAGAACACATTGCTGTGCATGAGAGTTGCTGTATTGGATCATTCCATGCACGCCCTTCTTTGCTGAGCAAAGTGATACGAACAAATGTTCAGTTGATTTTTTTCTGTGAGAAAAAAGCTACGACTATTGCTGGGCTGCTGCCTGTATTATGGTAATTACGGGTCGTTGTTGTTAATGGTTGTTTTTGTATTAGTAAAAGCCCTGGCTGGGGCGAGGTAATGGCCCTTCTCCGAGACAGTAAGGGGTGGGGACCTTCCCAAACAGTGAGGAGAAGAGACCTGGGGGGGGGAGGTTATGCAAAGTGACTCCAGGACCAGCATGCTGTGGGGGACTACGGCTCCAAACGTACTGAGAAAACCCCAAAAACAACGAGCCAAATAAGAGTTGAGAGACTGGAGGTTTCTTGGTCTATTCATGTGGTTGTGGCATCTAACCCTGTATATATTCCCTTATGTGCTCCTCACGGTGCTCTTTATCAGAGCAGACAAAGGAATCAGGATTGCTTCATTAACGTCCTGTGTGATATCAGCTTATGACATGATTAACATCAATGGCAATGAGGATCATTTGGGATGTATATTCAGTGTTGCTCTCCTGCCCCTGCCTTGGGTGCTGCCTCTGGGAATTCATTAATAATCATACTCAGCCTGTGAGGGGAACAGGGGAGGATGAATTTCCCCAGCTTTTCTTCCTTCAGGCCTGTTACAACAGCTTTTGAGAATTTTGAATTCCCTTTGGATGTTAAGGAAAGCATGTTCTTGTTGCTAAGTCCACCAGGTCTCCTAAGTATGGTCAACACCATGTGTAGAGTTACAAAAGAGATTTCTAGGAAGGTCCTTCAGAGATCTGCCCTGAGAGCGGATAGCCCTGAGTGACATGGAATGTGGGAGGACATAGGCCAGTATTTGGGGACATTCTCTTCTCCAATGGTTTGGAAGTCCACCCTGAACAACTATAGGACCCTGATAAAGCGACAGAATATTTTCAAGGAGAATGCTGTGGCAACACCAGGGAGAAGCAACTTATTGCGGTGTGTTGGGCCCTGGCTACTATTTATCAGACACTGTTTGATACTAGTCAGCACCCTCAGGGGAGGAGGAAAAAAGCAGAGCAACAGGCACTGTGGCCACTCAGACTGCAGCTGAACCAGAGGAAAAACCTGTGCTGGTAGCAGTTGCCCCTATACAGAAGAAGAAATCCAAGACCAAATCAGTTTGCTTCGTCAGGGATGAAGAAGTAGGACGCTCACAACAGGAGGAAAAGGCAGGGCCAGTGATAACCACTCAATCCCTATATCTGGGTGAGCTGTGAGATATGCTAAAACATTTTAGATTCCAGCTAGGTAAGCCCCTATTGACCTGGCTGCTCCGATGCTGGGATAGCACAGCCCACAATATGAAACTAGATGGTAGCAAAGCCAAGCAACTGGTATCCCTGTCCAGGGATGCAGGCATTGACAAGGGGATTGGGAAGAGGACAGAAATTCAGCCTCTGGAGTTGACACCTGTCAAGTGTGAGGGAAAGGTATTCTCTCAAGGATGATCTAGTAGTGTGCCCAAGCAGGTGGAATGTCATGGAGAAAGGTATCTAGTACCTGAGACAATTAGATGTGCTGGAGGTACTATATAGGAATTCAAATAACAAGCAGTCTCCTATAGATTCAGGTGAGGTCTGGTGTACACAATCCGTGCGGCAGAAGTTTACATGGAGCGTGCCATCGTTGTACACCAGCTCATTGGCATTGATGTCAATGAAAGGAGAACAGACAGTGCTTCAGGTGGCTACTCGACTCTGGCAATATTATCATCTTTTTTCCTCCCTACCAACCTACGCCTCGGCTGTGGAAAGACTGTCCAAAACTGCAGACAGATTGGAAAAACTCAAGCAAGTAAGAGAGGAAATGTCCCATGCCTCACCAGTATGGACCAGCGTCTGCTATTGGGAGCAAGCACACCGCTGCTCAAGAGAGAGGGTCCATACCTTGGGGTAAGCTGTGGTTTTACCTGCACGACCACAGAGAGGACATGAGGAAATGGGATGGAAAACCCACCTCAGCTCTAGCAGCACAGGGATGTGACTTGGAAGGGAAAACAGCAACCATAAGAAATTCTTCAAAGATAAATGTTGCTCCAGTTTCCTGTGGGCAAGTCCTCAGACAGAACAGAAGGGCTAATGTTACTTTTGATCCTCTTGAAGGGACCTTCAGGTCATATTTACAAGTGAGCAACAAGTGCTATGACCAGGACTAGAGGGGTCATGCTTCCAGCCAGGTGGAGGAAAGGGACAATCAGATCTATTGGACTGTGTGGTTCAGATTGCCTGGCACATCAGACCCTCAAGAGTATAAGGCTTTAGTTGATACCGGTGTACAATGTATCCTGGTGCCATCAAGATATGTAGGGACAGAATCCATCTCTATTATTGGGATGACAGGAGGATCCCATAACTGACTGTACTGGAAGCTGAAGTGAGCCTGATTGGAAACGAATGTCAAAAACGCCCCATTGTGACTGGTCCAGAGGCCCTGTGCATCCTTGGCATAGATTACCTCAGGAGAAGGTATTTCAAGGACCCAAAATGGCATCATTGGGCTTTTGGGATAGCTGTTGTGGAGACAGAGGAAATAAGTTGAATACCTTGCCCGATCTCTCAAAGGACCTTTCTGCTGTGGGACTGCTGAGGGTTGAAGAATAACAGATACCAATCACTATCACAACAGTGCATCATCAAAAATACCGCACCAACCAGGACTCTGTGACCACCGTCCATATAAATGATTTGTGAACTGAAGAGCCAGGCAGTAGTCAGCAATAATCCCTTACCCTTTCATAGTCCTGTATGGCCTGTGCATAAGTCCAGTGGAGAGTGGAGACTTGTTACCGATAAGTAAAACTTTGCAAAAGGAAGACCTTGTAAAATCATGGCTCAGGCCTGTTACTTCGGCTAAGTAGAAAAGGACTGTGGGAAAGAGACTCAGCTGAATTAAGGGTATAAAAACAAGTTATATAACTATCGTATGTTCATATCATGGTGTATGGTGGTTGGCTGAATTATGTTTGTTATGCTTTAAAACTATGTAACTGATAATGGGCTAACTGCTTAAAAAGGCCTGGTTTTTGCAATAAAGCGTCTCTCTTTTGCACCTGCCTGGGGACTCTGTGTCACTACAGACCCTCACCCACAGAGGCCGACAGTGGACTATTGCTGTCTGAACGAAGTCAGATCACCACTGAGTGATGCCGTGCCAGACATGCTGGAACTTCAGTACGAACTGGAGTTCAAGGCAGCAAAGTGGTGCCATCATCAACATTGCTAATGTGCTTTTCTCCATTCCTTTAGCAGCAGCCTGCAGGCCACAGTTTGCTTTCACCTGGAGGGGCATCCAGTACACCTGGAACCAACTGCCTCAGGGGTAGAAACACAGTCCTATGATTTGCCATTAACTGATGCAGACTGCAGTGGAAAAGGGTGGGGTGGGGCAACACAGCAGAGGAAGTTTTGGAGAAAGCAGATAATCCAGATCCTCCTGAAAGCAATGGCAAGACATCACCAGATTCCAATGGACGTGGTCAACAAAACAGCAGCTATGTCCCCACTGGTCAGCAAGAAGAAAACACAGGGTTTCCTAGGCACTGTAGGTTTCTGGAGGATGCATATTCCAGATTACACTCAGATTGTAAGATATGTCTATTATGTGATATGGAAGAACAACAGTTTTCAAGTCCCAAAAAACAACAAGCTTTTGAACGGATTAAACAGGAGAATGTTCATATAGTAGTCCTTGGGCCAGTCAGGACAGGACAAGATGTAAAAAATATGGTCTACACCACAGCTAGGGTGAATGGTTCTTTCTGAAGTCTCTGGAAAAAAGTACCTGGGGAGACTTGAGGACCACCCGTGGGGTTCTGAAGTTGGGGATACAAAGGATCTGAGGCCTGTTAAACCCCAACTGAAAAGGAAATGCTGGCGGTTTATTAAGGGGTTCGAGGTGCTTCACAAGTGATTGGCACTGAAGTACAGCTACTCCTGGCACCCTGACTGCTGGTGCTGGGCTGGATGTTCAAATGGAAAGCCCCGTCCATACATTATGCCACTGATGCTACATAGAGTAAGTGGATAGCTCTGATCACACAGTGAGCTCAAATAGGAAATCTCAATTGCCCAGGCATCTTGGAAGTCACCACAAACTGGCCTGAAGTTGAGAATCTCAGACTATAATCAGAAGAGGAGGAGGAACAGGTGGCATGCTGAGGAGGCCCTGAGACGGAGTGGGGATCCATTCTGAATTAGGTAAAGTGTCTGGAAAAGGTGAGGGGTCTGTAGGGCCAAAGCTGAATGAAAAGCCGCATTCCAGAGACAGCAAGGAGACAGAGAAAGAAAAACAGAAATTACCGCAAGGTCAGTCTGCCCCAGACCTAGGAATTCCTTAGATAAAGAAGAACTGGTGCTAAATGTCACGCGGAATGAATATGTATGAACTTATTGTAAAACTGTATGCATATGCATTTGGAAGGGAGACAAAAGAAGACCTGAGGTCTTCAGAGGTACGCATGCCTTGTTGGGGGACTTGCGTCCGGCGCGTCGTAATAAAAGCATACCAGGCTTTACAACTTTTACAAAGTTGTGAGGTTTCTTCGTTTCTCCGCAAAACATTATGGCGACCACGAAGGGACTTCTCTGTCCCCGCAGGGGCAGGGGGGATAGACGGACCTCCAAGGCGCGCCCTAGGATTTTTTTCCTGGTGGGGCTCCGCTCGTCTCAACTTGCCACCTGCGAGGACAGACAAGGACCTGCTGGCCTGCGGAGGAAGATACGGTATGTACTGAGGGGCCCCCGGGGGAGGGAAAGGAGAGCAAGAGAGTAAACCACCCAGAGATGTCTGGGTTCAGCTGATAGAGCAGCTTATTAGAGACGGGGTTCATCGTTCTGATAGAGCAGACCGCAAACGGTTCTGGGGGTGAGCCGGGTGAACCCATGTATGTGTGTGTTGGGGGTTCCTTGTTCTGATAGAGCAGAACTGCTGAGCCCGTGTGTGTTTTGTTTGTGTGCATGTGTGATGTCTGGACACTGTGTTGCTGTATGGTTAATGTGTGCATTGTGTGGTCAGTGCACTGTGTTTGCAATCGTGCAAGTGTATAAGTGTATGGTGTATAAAAGAGAGTAGAGCTACAGTGCTATACGGTGCGGGGGGGGGTCAGTACTACCCGTGTTTGAAGCAGCCGAGTGAGGCCTGAGGCACCGGCTGCAGCAGGCTGCGGGGGCAGGGAGAGAAGTGCCCCGCAGAGAAGCGAGTGGAGGAATGTCAGTAATGGTATTTATTGTGTTTAAATGCAGTGATTTGTGTAGATTTGGTACATTTTAACCGCGAGTATGAGCTCAGAGAATTCCTTTGCTTTGGATGTTTGGATTTGATCTCTAGACTGTGCTGTTATTTTGATTGTGTCCAGGAAAAATTGATGCGAGTAAATGCCGAATTATGGTATGCTGTGTTGTGTTGAGAAAAGTGAGCACTTTGAGAGTTATGCCCTTTCTCAGTGATTTTGTGTGGTGATTGTCTTCCGCTGCATTGTGGTAATTTGATTCTCAGATTGTATAGTAGTGTTTGTGGAGATTTTAAGATTTTGTTGCAACAAGAGTGGCATTTTACATAGGAGAACTATAGTACGAAGCGAGTTAAAGGAATTCCAAGAATTCTCCCCCTCACAGCAATCCAAGCCTTGGCTCTAGTGAATCTGAGATAAAGGGGGGGTGCGGGTGCGTGTGTCCGTGTCTGTGGGCATATCAGAGTTTCGGCTGTGACTAGCACAGCCTTTTTGCAAAGCAGTAAAACAAGTGTAAGTAGGCACAGTGCATAATTAGATTGTGCAAGAAGAGAACTAGAAAATACTGATATTTTGTTTGATCAGAACATAGTGTCTATGTCACGTTTTTGATTAGCATGCTGTATGAGGTGACAGTGGCTGTCCCCTGGGCACAGGGACAGCTCTGACTTCCCCGTCTCCCCAGGGAACACGGGAATGGCCTGTGGGCAAAAGCTGGATGTGCAGGTATTATTGCAGTGCGGTGTTTATGAGAAACACTGGTATTGCTGTTTTGCTGTCAGGGCACATGCCCCGAGTGTAAATTAGAGGTTTCTGGTCAAGCGGATTCAGAACCTAAGGTCTTAGAGCTTGTGTGTAGGAGGAAAACTGAGAAACTACTGTGAAGGTCTGTGAAAGGAGGTTTGAGTGGAAGCGAGATAGGGCAAGGAGAAATAAATAATGAGAACTGACCAGAGCAAAGAGTTTCCTAAATTAGCCCCTTTTGGGAGGAGCTCACTGGGAGAAGGCTGCCAGTAAGAGCAGATCAGAAAATAAAAAGATTTATAATACTTCATTGCTGTTAGTACTGTTTTAAAATGGGAAGATAAATGGGATAGAGTTTTTGTATGCTGA